TTTACAGTTCATTTTTGAGGATTTAAAAGCCAAAATGAAAAGTTTATAATTTTATAAAAGCATTTGCATTCATATTTTTGTTAAAACTTACTATTGAGTTACAAATTGGTTTAAATCATTTTTAAGGTTTCATTGTTTTTGTCAGTTTGTAGCGTTAAAATTTGAAAACTTAAAGCTCCCATGACATACTACTTTTTAGATGCTTTTTATATAGGTCTAAGTGGTCCCTAGTACTGTATCTGAAGTCTCTTTCCCGAAATTCAGCCTTGGTGCAGAATTTCAGCCTCTACGAGCCAGTCCCACAATGAGCTTTCCTTGTTGTTTCCTTGTGTTCCTTGTGTCTGTAGCTTTAAATGCTAATGAGGAGGAGAGGGGCGGGGCAACTGCCATGCTTCACTTGTTTGCAAGCCATGATGTCTCTCGAGGAAAAAAAAAATATTGCGCTCGCCTCGCACGGTAGTAGCTCATTTTCTCATGGGCGGGCCAAATTCTCTGGACGGGCAAAGCAGAGAAAGGGGAGGTAACCTTTCCCTGTATGACGACATAAAGGGAAGATTCCAGATTGGGCCATCTGAGCTTTAATTTTCTCAAAGGCGAAGCAGGATACCCAGTGCTCGGTTTACACCTATCACCATTTCTAGCAACTGGGGGACCATAGGCAGGCTAGGGGAACTCGTATTAATGTTAAAAAACCTCATAAAGTTTTCATGCCATGGGACCTTTAATATAACTTCAGACACACAAAAGATTAATACATTTTTTCACATTAAAATCATGTTACACCACACATTGTATTGGCTTTATGGAAACAGTGAGATCTTAATGGTTACAAATTGCCTCATTCAGCCAGACTTTTGTTTTTTAAAGAAAAAGCAGGATAAGTGGAAATTAATATTTGCAATATCCAACATTAAACCACAAGTGCTGTCAATTCAGCTTGTATTGTATTGTATTGTATACAGAACCCAGAATATTTTTTCAATAGAACTCTCCTCAGTTCATTTGATTCAGTTAAACGCTCATAAGTTTGATTGAGTGGAATCTAATGAGTACTGTGTGTGTCTGGACAGGATATCACCGCGAGGGCTTCCTGCAGGTGCAGCACGCGGTGGACCGGGCCATCATGAAGGCCTACAACAGCACGGCGGCGGTGGCCCTCCTCAAGAGAACCCAAGTGCTGCTGGCTCGTTTCCCTTACCCAGCATTCATGTACGACGTCTTCATCCTGGCCATCCAGAACCAGCTGCCACTGCTGCTGGTGCTCAGCTTCACCTACACGTCTCTGAACATCGTCCGAGCTGTAGTACAGGAGAAGGAGAGGAAACTGAAGGTACAGGAAATGGGCATGAACGTGGATTCTGTTGCTCTTGATGTAAGAAAGCTTCACTGCAGCTGTGTGTGTGTGTGTGTTGCAGGAGTACATGCGCATGATGGGTCTCAGCAACTGGTTGCACTGGAGCGCCTGGTTCCTCATGTTTCTCCTCTTCCTCTCCATCTCCATCTTCTTTGTCACCGTGCTTATCTGCGTCAAGGTAAACACATATAATCTGTTCTTTGTAAGTACCTTGTGCTACTAGAAATACCACTATACTGTTTGAATGTCTGTGAACTTTTTTTTTTTTTTAGCTCACTTGAGAACTAGGAACCAGTTTTTATTCAGAACAAGTTCCACTTGTTGCACAGAAGCACTGGAACAGAGTGTTTTTTTTTAATGACGTTTAGTTCATTTACATTTTTCCACCGATACAGATGGTATAGATACTTACTCGTATGTTTGTTTGTATAATAACTTTTACCTGAAGGTACAGTATGCATTTAGAGTTTTGCTTTACATTTTTTTTTTAAAGGTATTATTTTAGTATACAGTTAAGACCAATTATTAATGTCCTCAAAATACAGCAAAAATGGCTGCTGAAGTCTCTTTTTTCCCCAGTAAACATTAACATATACAATTTCCATAATTCTAAACATTAAATACCATATAATACCATATAATATGGTATGTTTAATACTGGTTATAAATGAAAAGAAATTAGGAAAAACTGAGGAATAATGGTTAAAATATAAAACTGTACAAATCTAAGTATGTACATGTATATTTAAAATAAATACTTCTATAAAACTCTATAAAAAATAATACTCAAGACTGTAAATTAATTAGTAATTTGCATGTTAAAATTAAATTAGTGTTTTGAATGTATTATTATGCAATTTGGTCATGATAATACAATTTTCCAAAGCCCCCCAAAAAAAGAAATTCAGATATTATGTTTTTTAATATTTATAAATTTTTGTACTCTAACACATACACTAATTCATATATTTGTACAGTAAACATTAACATATACAATTTCTGCAATTATAAATTTTAAATACCATAAATTATCTATGATATATGTGTATGTGTGTGTATATAATTAATAAAATTCATTTTTCAAATTATTGAATTTTTAATAAAATAAAACAATTTAATTAATGTTAAATACCACAAATTATTGTATGTATAAAACGAATTATAAATAAATACACACACACAAACAAACTAAATAAATATATATAGATCAATAATTAATAAAATTATTATTAAAATATAGAATAATTGTTTCAAATAAGTATAGAATAATTAATAAAAAATAAAACAGTACAAAACTAAGTACATGTATAATTCAAGTAAATGCTTGTATAAAACTCAAAAATAATACTCAAGTCTATAAAGCTTGAATTAAAAAAAAATAATGGTTAATAATAATAGTAATAATAATACAGTTCTCTGAAGCCAAAGATAACTTTTTTTTTCACAACAACAAAACAGTTCTTGATATTTTTATTTAAATAAATAAATAAATTTCTCTGCACCATATTGTAACTGAATGAGTGCAATAAACTGTTAATAGATTCTCTAAGGAATCAGAATCATGAAGTACAATGAGATTTTGAAACAGAATTTTTTTTAAGATTCCCATTTGAGATCGTCCACACTGTTTGCTATGTGTAGCTCATGTATGTGTTGTTTTCCTGTCAGGTGAGTCCTAACGGAGCGGTGTTGACCTACAGTGACCCCACGCTGGTGTTTTTCTTCCTGCTGGTGTTTGCCGTGTCCACCATTAACTTCAGCTTCATGATCAGCGCCTTCTTCTCCAGAGGTAACTTCTCCATCTCTGCTCTGTGAAAGTGTGATTTCTCTTTTCATCACAGAACAGAATGGCCATTACACTCTATTCTTGTTGGACCCTAACAGTGTGCATTTATAGCACATATACTGTATATACAGAGCTTTAATCAAACAGCCTCGTAATCAACAGATTACAGAGAAAGTAGAGGTGACCAAAGAAATGACCAGGACATATTTGCAGTATTTTTGGCTCCATGCATAAACAAAATGAGCTGCGTTTAAACTGAACTCTCAGAAAGCTTTCAAAAATCAGCTCTTTTTTGTCCATAAGCTGTGCTACGTTTTCTTTTCTCTGCCAAACAAAAACCTCCGATTACTACAAACGGTGTTTAAAAGCAGGTAACCAGCTGAGGGCAAATGTTCAGGTTGCAGTTATTGACTTTTTTGATTCTTGAAATGCTTTTAGTGAGTGAAAGCAGGAGTCGTGGCTGGACTGTATTGCGATTTGATTGGCGCTTGTGAGCGCAGTGGCCCTCGGGCGAGCTAATAATAAGATGTGCAGATGTACATAGCTGCTTTAAGAGCGGATTCATCACGCCCTAACTCTTCATCCTGATGGGAAGAAAGAATAGAAAATCAGACATGCATTGGTGTACATTGTTTCATTTAGTTATTGTGTTCGCAAGTGACTCATTATGGAAACCACTGATTTGAGAACCGGCTGTTTTACCACGTGTGGTTTTGAGTTGAAGCTGTAGTTCAGCAAAAAAGCACTACTCACTCATAATTTACTTGACCACATGTTGCAAAAAATATGCAAAAATCATGATTTTTCTAAGCTGATCATTTCCATACAATGAAACTGGTGACCACAAAATAGTTTTCTTATGTAATATTTTAGTCTTAATTTCCAGTACAAATATCTAAAAAAAAAAATACATCAGGATTTACTTGAGAAGCAAAATGACTTGATATGAAGTCTTGTTTTTCAAAAACAAACAAAAAAAAAAAAGTCAATTTTGTGAGTTTATGGTTAAAACAAAAAGAAAAATTATTGTGTTTTCCTTTAAATTAAGTTTATTTTTCCTACCTCATTTTTTCCTTGTTTTAAAGGGGTCATATGATGCTGCTACAAAGAACGTTATTTTGTGTATTTGGTGTAATGCAATGTGTTTATGCGGTTTACGGTTCAAAAAACACATTATTTTCTACATACTGTACATTATTGTTTCTCCTCTATGCCCCGCCTTTCTGAAACGTGTACATTTTTACAAAGCTCATCGGTCTGAAAAGCGAGGTGTGCTGTGATTGGCCAGCTGTCCAGTGCGTTGTGATTGGCCGAATACCTCAAACGTGTGACGGAAATGTTACGCGCTACCATACTGTGTCCGGCCGGAGCGACGAGACAAAAACATTAAAACCCATTATAAACGAGGCATTTGTTGCATCCAGTGGGGACATAATTATGGATTATAATGACTTATACTGTCTTTTTACGTGGTGCGATGCAACATAAAACCATGTCTGCATTTGTGATCGGAGAAATGACAAACAACAAGTGCTACTCTACACTGCCCAAAACTCGCGTTTGAATAGTCAGTAGCAAATCCTTTAAAGGGGTCCTATTATGCTGTTTCACTTTTTTGATTTTAGTCAGTGTGTAGTGTGTATGTTTGGGCATTAAAAAGATCTAGAAAGTTACAAATCTCAAAGTCCACTCCAAAGGGAGATATTTAGAGAATTTTCAAGAACTACAACAAACGGCTCGTTTGGACTACAGCGTTTGGTTTCCGGGCTTTGTGATATCAGAATTTATATTAGATATTAGAATTTCATTACAAATAATTCCATATTCTGAAGTGAAGTAAACTTCAACGGATTTCCCTTGCTCAGGGATTAGGGAGCAATGTACACTGTGTAGGTACCATGTCAATCGGTACACAGTTCATGCACGGAGCTCACTTCTAACGAGATGATGATCTGAATCAGGTGTGTTAACAAAGAGAGACGTGCAAAACATGCAGCGCAGGGGTACGCGAGGACTGGAATTGAGAACAGCTGGTCTAGAAGAAATCTACAAGTACAACACGACGTAGCTTGGTGCCGCGGACAGATGCCGAACGGCGCCGCCGGTGTGCCTACACTCATAGAAAATAATGTATTTGAATTTTAAAGACGTGGCGCAACACTGCGCGACCGCCTGAAATGCTGTTTTTTTTTCACCTCCGTGCCCAAACAAAGACTTCCGAAAGCGGATGATGTCAGGAAACAGTGGTTGCAATTTACTTTTTAACTCTGTTCCTGAGCATTATAACCCCAATTTGCTATTGTGTGCTGCGCATTTTACTGAGGACAGCTTCCACATCACGAGTGCCGGATTCGCCAAAAGCTTTTGTTGAAAGACGGAGCAAGGGGGCGGGGCAGTACTGAAACACCGTCTAAGCTGTTCACCAATCACAACGCACTGGGACAGCTAACCAATCACAACACATTTTGTTTTTCGGAAGGCGGACCTTCATCAAAGCCAGAACTAATCGAGAACAGCCGGCATTGTAGTCTACTCTACCAGGATCAGGAAACAGTTCTCCATAAAATGTGCTGCACACATCTGAATATTTGGGTTGAAGTGTTCTGGAACAGTGTTGTAAATACAACTTAACCACTGATTTCTAGTCGTGTCCTCTTTTGGAAGACCAAACAAAGTAGTTTCGCTTTCACAGCGAAACACACAGCGCCTTCACGACATGGCGGCGGCAACAACAATACTACAGCGAGAATAAAAGTTAAACCTTCTTTCTTTTCGTGAACATTTGGGTGACGTTATGCAAATCTTACCACACCGTGACGTAGATATGTGGGAGTGTGTTAGAACGAGCGTGGTTGACTCTTCAACTTTTATAAAGAATATCTCTTTGGATTTGAGACTTTAGTCATTGCAACTTTACAGATCTTCTTTATGCACCAAGAGCTTGTAACACTCCAAAGAGAAAGGAAAAATTTAAATCGCATCATATGACCCCTTTAAGTATAAACTGAAAATGAGACTTCGTATCTGAAGTCATTTTGGACCTCAAATAAATGAATCTTTAAGAATGTGTAGATATTTGTACTGGAAAACGAGACACAAAATATGGAGTAAAAAATATTGCCTTGCATATCTCCAAAAAGACAAAATGGTACATGATTTTTTGTGTGTGAAGAACCAGACAAAACTTTAGCTTCTGTTCACTAAAACAGCATGCCTTCTGCTCTTACTCTCCAATCTTGTTCACATTTCTGCATTTTAAAACCTGGCACGACACGTTTAATGTTTTCTTTTTGCGTGAACAGGTTTGTTCAGTAAATTGCATTGAATAAAAAAGCTCAAATATGCTTGCTGATGCATTAATAAAATCATCAAATGAGTGAGAATCCTTTTAAAGGGCAGTTTTGAAAACATTTTCAGGCACTCTGGCATTAAATTCTGACATATAGCATCATGTGTAGGAGGAAAATGAGGCAGTGCATGTCTGTATTGCTGAAAAATGCAGCCTCAGGCAGGAAATGTAATCTTAAATGTTGTCCTGTGTAAAAAATCAGCTGACACTGTGCTTTTAAGAGAAATGTTTGCTTGTTTGGTCTCAAGGCAAATGCTTTGGTTGACAGTAATATGTTAGATGTTCATTGTAGATTTACCTGTTCGTATGGTTCATGCTTCATTTACCTAATTCAACTTTGGTTAGCTTTTCATGTCAAAGCTTCGGTTCAACCTTCTCTGAAAATGTGTTAATATACTTTATTAATTTCATCAAAAAAATTTAAAACAAAAAACTTACTTAAAGCTAATTTAGGACCGTTACGATTTTTTGTTGTTGTTACATTTTTATTACTGCAGTGTAAATACATTTATTTATTTTATTTATTTATTAAATGTATTTTATAATTTTTTCATTTTATTCATGTTCGTTTCTTTTTTTATTTCTTTTATTTTAAACTAAAACCAGTACTACAAATACTACTGTGATGTATAAAAATTCAACAGTTTAATTGCAATTTCATCTCTTTTTTGCATTACAGATGCAAAACAATGCCAAAACTCTTAATTTTAATATTTGACATTTCTTTAAGCTATATAGAATGTCTTGTTTTATTTTAAAGGTGAAATATGACTTGTGCATTTTCTTGACAGCATCTTGTTTCATTATAACATTTATTATTTATTGTTGTGGTTTTATACAGCTGATATATGTGATGCAGAACAGGGTCGGCTGTTTTTTCTTACAGCACAGTGTCTGAAATCGAATCGATGTGGTTCAACAAACTCTTTTATTCAAAAGCCCATAGACTCGTGCTCTCGGGTTGAGAAAGGCTGAAAATGGAAAAATGTCCTACTCCGCCGGTCCGGCCCATTAAGAGCCCAAATGACATATTGTTGAGAGTGGTCCCTCCGAGACGTGAATGTAAAAATAGCCCAGTGTGTCATTTTCTTCCATTTGATGAACAGCGGTGCCACTCTTTTCACTGCTCTTTTCTCTCATCTCCTCTCTCTCATTTGCTCTTTTGTGGCTGTTTAAGGGTCGCGGGGATTGTAGCTCGAGGCCGTGTGTGTGAATGAGTGCATGGGTTTGATTCAATGATTCACATCACACATCCATCATTAAATCTCACACACTGAACCTCGTGCTGGGGCACAAAAATGGCCTGGTCACATTTACCCAAAAATTATTTATTTTCTAACAGGCTTCCAGAGAAAAGCCCTTAAAAGTCCAGTGTATTTATAAATAATATATTTATATATAAATACTAAAATAATTTAACCTTTTTGTTTGTTTCTTTCTTTTACAATGGCGTCTTTTTTTCTTTCTTCCTGTGTCAGAAGGAAAAAAAATTTAACTTAAATGATTTTAGCAAATGGCTGTAATATAACAAAGAGTGAAAAATTTAAGGGGGTCTGAATACTTTCCGTACCCACTGTATATATATATATATATATATATATATATATATATGTATATACTGTATATCTCAGTGTGATTTTTTATTTTTTTTTACTTTCACAATAACATATTTGTTCCTAATAATTATATGACAGTATTTTTATTTAGAGAATCACCATTGTGAATAATGGGAAATTTTACACACTTTTTTTTTATTTATTTTTTTTACAGTTTTTCCTGAGGCAGAATCATACGTTTCTCTCTAAATTCCCATGAATATATTATGAAAAATAATGAAAATGAAATGAAAGCAAGAAAATAAATATTATATTTATAAAATAAAAGTATTTGTTTTGTTGCCTTTTTTAAATCAGCATGAATTGTTAAATTACAGTACTTTTATGTAGAGAATCACTATCATGAATAATTGGAAATATGAAAACACAAATGTCCATGCACTTTGTGGTATGATTGTAAAACCAATGACACAACATCTTAAAGTAAAATATAATTTCTTTCCTTTGATTTTGCAAAAGTTTTCAGTGGAGATTACTTGTTCTTGTGATGCTTTCATTGATTTCGAAGCAAAACTCAGTTTAAATTCAGTTTCTTTCTCTCCCGTAGCGAATGTGGCCGCAGCAGCGGGTGGCTTCATCTACTTCCTGAGCTACCTGCCGTACGTCTTCCTGTGGCCTCGCTATGACCTGCTGTCACACGCCCAGAAAGTCTCTGCCTGCCTCATCTCCAACGTGGCCATGGCCATGGGAGCCCAGCTGATCGGCATGTTTGAGGGCAAAGGTCAGGGATCCGACTGAACCTGACACTGCTGCTGCTCTAATCACGCATCTTAAGCTGACGCTCGTGTCCTGTGTCTCCTCAGGGACGGGCATCCAGTGGCATAACCTGTTTGAGCCGGTGACGGTGGACGATGACTTCTCTCTGGCTCAAGTGCTGGGACTGCTGCTGCTGGACTCTGTGCTGTACGGTCTGGTTGCCTGGTACGTGGAAGCCGTGTTTCCGGGAGAATATGGAGTCCCTCGCCCGTGGTACTTCTTCATCCTGGTACGTACTAAATAATAATAATAATACGTTTAATTTATATAGCGCCTTTCCCAAGCTCAAGGACGCTGCACAATGACAAAAGCAAATAAACAATCATGTTATACATAGATGTACATGACATTTGCCAAGTCCAGAACATGCGGTTGCAGTTGCATACCACAGTAATAATACAGTATCATAATCACAAAAAAAAAAAAAAAGAGAAAAACATTATAACAGGTAATATTGGTTGAACATATAGGTTTTGAGTTTAGACTTAAATTTGTGCAGTGTGGTTATTGTCGAAGAGCTAGGGGCAATGTGTTCCAAATTTTGGGAGCCAAAACAGAGAAAGATCTACCTCCCATAGATAATAGGTGAAATCTCGGAACACAAAGAAGTTCATCTCCAGATGATCGACGTGGACGAGAGGGAATGTATGGAGAAAGCAGGTCAGAGAGATAGGTAGGTGCAAGACCATGGAGTGACTTAAAGGTAAGCAGAAGAATTTTATAAATGATACGAGAGGACTCCGGTAGCCATTGGAGGTTGAACAGAATTGGAGTGATATGTGCAGACCGTTTAGTGTAAGTTAGCATTCTCGCAGCAGAATTTTGAATATATTGCAATCGAGAGATGGAGCGTAATGGTAATCCGGAAAAAAAAGCGTTACAGTAATCAAGGTGGGATGTGATTAAAGCATGTACTAGGAATTCAGCATCTTTTGGGCTGATGAAGGAATGGAGTTTGGCAATACGGCGAAGTTGAAAAAATGCAGCTTTGGAGAGCTTATTGATATGAGCATCTAGGTTTAAAGAAGAGTCAAGAATGATACCCAAGTTTTTAACTGTGGCAGATGGAATAATTGATGTGGCTTCGAGGTCAAATCTAGGGGCATTTGTTATGTTTTTTGTTACAGTTGGGGGCCCGACAAGTAAGATATTGACGCATGACAATAGAGATGCAGTCTGGTGAATAGAGTCAGGTTGGCAGGAAGTGTATATCTGAATATCATCGGCATAGCAGTGGTACTGTAAACCGTGGCGGCGAATAATTTGTCAGAGGGGCATAATATAAATAATAAATAATAATGGCCCTAGGACTGAGCCCTGTGGCACACCCTGTTTAAGAGGGACAGAGGGAGATTTATAGCCATGTATGGTGATGTAGTATTGTCTGTCCGTCAAATATGAGGAAAACCAGGATAACGCAGCTCCTGAGATGCCAATCTCTGAGAGGCACATGAGTAATAGCTTATGAGAGACAGTATCAAAAGCTGAGCTGAGATCGAGTAGTAGAAGTATAGAAAGATTGCCCAAATCACCAGAAAGGAGGAGGTGGTTTATAACCCTTACCAGAGCAGTTTCAGAACTGTGTTGCGAACGAAAACCTGACTGAAATATATCAAAGTGTTCATTGAGAGCTAGAAATGACTGCAATTGAGCGGCAACAACCTTTTCCATGATTTTTGAAACAAACGGTAGGTTGGAGATTGGACGATAATTAATGTAATCAGTTGGGTCTAGATTTGGCTTTTTAAGAATAGGAGTAACAGCAGCAGTTTTAAGTGAAACTGGAACAGTGGCAGAGGTAAGAAAACCTTTTCCATGATTTTTGAAACAAACGGTAGGTTGGAGATTGGACGATAATTAATGTAATCAGTTGGGTCTAGATTTGGCTTTTTAAGAATAGGAGTAACAGCAGCAGTTTTAAGTGAAACTGGAACAGTGGCAGAGGTAAGAAACATGTTTACAAGATGTGAAATTGGAGCAGAAATGACAGAGGTGCAGTGTTTTAAAAGGAATGTTGGTGCAGGGTCAGCCCGGCAGGAAGAAGAATTGGATTTCAGCATTATTTCACTAATTAAGGTGGGATTAGTCAAGGAGAAATTATAGAGCGTTTGAATAGACCGAGCTAGCTCACAAGTAGAAGTGGTCAGTTCTACACCAAATGTCCCACATAAAGCGTCCAGCTTGCCCTGAAAATGGCGTAAAAAAGAACAGCATAGATCGTCAGATTCTCATTGAAAGGCATTATGCATGGGAGCCTGAACTAGCCTATTCACCATGCTAAAAAGTGATTTGTGATTAGTGATAGGCCTATTGTTTGCTTTGTTAATAATTTTAGAAATATAGGAAGAGTGAGCTTCGTTCAAGGCAGTTTTATAGTGCTTAACATGATCTGAAAATGCCTGAAAGTGTACAGTTAAACCTGTTTTCCTAAAAAGGTGTTCAAGTTGCCTGCCTTTTGCTTTCATAGCACGTAGCTCATCATTAAACCATGGAGAGGAGCTGGACATGGGAACAGACCTAGTCCTAATTGGGGCATGCTCGTCTAAAACATCATCAATAGCAGAGTGATACAAATCAGATATCTTGGATGGACATGTAAAATTGAAAACATCAGAAATAACAGATGAAGCAATAAAGGCAGTAAATGTATCAACATTGATAGCATCGAACTTACGATAAGAAATGGTTATGTTGTCAGTACATTTGGTTGGATAAGTATTTTCTAACAGTAGCCATATTTTTGGTCAATTTCAGCTGCATTGAAAATAGGGGTTGAATTGAATTAATCTGTTTCTTAAAGGGTGTGTAAAATTTCAGAAATTGGCAAACAAAGAAAAGCAATAAGCAAAAAGTCACATCATGTATAATCATGACTGATCATTTATATTATCACTTTGAACTTATGCACGTTCCCAAGTAATCATAATGTAAATGTCACGTTGTAATGCTAAATATTTGAAACAACCTGTGAATTCATTAAACATCTTCCCTTTGAGAATTAAAGTCGGAGGTTATTCAAACTTTAATTTGTGATTTTTAAAAACATTATTTTAATGAGCTCAAAGTAGTGTTAATATTTTCAGCTATTTTAATTTTAGTCTTAGTTTTAGTCCCGTGCAGAGGTGGACAGTAGTGAAGTATTTTTACTCTGCTGTAAAAGTACTTTTCAAGTGTCAGTACTTTATCAGAGTGTTTTTCTTTAGAAAACCTTACTTCACAACATTCCAAAGCATAATATTGCACTTTTTACTGCACTACGTTTCATATTAAATATCATTTAATACTTAATTACATTAGAAAACTATTACTTTCTTTCTTTTGTTCAAGTAAAAGTAATTGAAAGATTTACTTGAGTACAAGAAAGTACTACATTTTTAATGTTCTTAAGTATGAAAGGTAAAACAAACAAACAACTTTTATTTATGAAATGTAGTGCAGTAAAAAGTTAGACATTATGCTTTGGAATGTAGTGAAGTAAAAGTCAAAGCACTCTGATAAACTACAGATAATTTTAAATTTACTTGAGTAAAGTAAAAATACTTCACTACTGTCCGCCTCTAGTCCCGTGTTAAAATGTCCTTGTTAGTTTTTTTTGTAAGTCAACCTTATCCTATTTAGTTTTACTCAAGTTTTAGTCGACTAAAAGTCTCAACATTTTAGTCTAGTTTTAGTCCAAGAAATCTTGACATTTTAGCAATGAGATTATTATTAATGAACCGTACGGTATTAATTTTGGCAGCCATTTTTTATTTAGTCTTAGTCTTACTCAAATGTATGAATGAAAAATGAAATGAAAATGTATCCTTGTAACAGCGAAGCTTGGATTCGGGAATTAGAACCACACTCATGAAAGCTTGCGTAGTAGACTCGTGTAGAGCAGTCTGCAATAACATTTTGTCTCCTTTTTTGACGAAAATAAAAAGAGATTTTTGGTAAAGTTTGTATTTTTTGTATACATTTTAGTCTTGTCTTATTTCGTCAACGAAATTGCATGTTGATATAGTCATAGTTAACTTTTATTGTCCTTATTATCGTCTCTTAGACATGGGAAAAAAGCTCGTCAATGAACATTTTTCGTCATAGTCTTTGTTAACGAAATTAACACTAACTCAAACAACAATCAAAAGAAAAAAAAGCAATGTTTTTACTATGCAAAATATTCTTAACTTTATTCTCAGAAAATAAGAAGATAATAGCAGAATGTATCGTAAATCCGGCCTTTAAAAGTGTAATTATGCTCAATGTTTTTGACCATGACTGTTTATTTTGAGCGATTATTTCCTCAATCCTCAAGCTTCCTCGTGTGCATCACATGGATTAGTGTTATTGCGAAACTATGGTCAAAATAGCTCTATTTTGGCCTTGTGAACTTGTCGCAGAGATCAGCGGTTCACCCATGGGAAGTCTTTAAAGTGCAAGAGAGTGTGATCCAGCACGAGCGCAACCTGAGTGTCTTTCCTGACCGACGGGCTCCTGAAAGACAGGAAGCATTTGGTCTCGGCAGGAAAACCGCGCTTATGTCATCAAGACTGCCAGGAAGTGCATGCGCAGCCTTATCTCCAGACGTACAGGATTTACTGTAGGGCGTGAAGAGGGAGGGGATGACGAACAGCGGCGTGATTTGCACAGAGCTATTGTATATGTAGGACACCCGATGCGTCAATGCTCGTGTTTGCAGACAGGCTTATCAATGGGGCGGCAATAAAGACCCCATCAGAGTGAAAGTGATGTGAAACAATGACCTCCTGGGTCACGCCTTTGACTCAGTGGATGTCTAACATGTTAATACACAAATGCTTTTGTAAACAGATGTAATGAATGACCTGGTTTTTGAGCTTATCTGTAAATGTTTTCACAGATTTATGGGTTTACAGGAATTTCTTAAAGGGGTCCTATTATGCTTTTTCACTTTTTCAACTTTAGTTAGTCTGTAATGTTGCTGTTTGAGCATAAAAAAGATCTGCAAAAGTTACAAAGCTCAAAGTCCACTTCAAAAGGAGATATTTTATTCAACAGAAATCACTTTTCAAAAACTACAACGAACGACTCGTTTGGACTACAACGCATATTTTCCGGGTTTTGTGATATCACAAATATCGACGAATGGGATGAGACCTGGTTGAGCTGCACTAGAGAAGGCAACGAGTGTTATCACTATGTCAGAGACACGCTAGCTTTCCCTTAGAGTGGTTACAATCATCCGGGTTTAAATCGCGCTCAAATTGATTTGATATTGACACAATATTTACACTGAAGCTCGCAGGCGGCTATGGTAAGGGGCATGACATTTCCCGACCAGGCGCCGAGTGGAGCCAATCACAGCACACACTGGCCCAGTTAACCAATCACAACACATTTCGTATTTCAGAAGGCGGGCCTTCATTTGATACAGGAACTATTCAAGCCGTTAATGCCAGACTAGGGAGAGAGGTGTTGTAATAATGTAAAATATGTGGAAAATAATGTGTTTTTCAAACAACCTAGTATGAGAGCCTGTTCTAGTACACCCCCAAAACAAAATCAAGACTTTGTAAAAGAGCGTAATAGGACCCCTTTAAACTTAATTAGTTACTTAGTATGTTTTTAGTGCTATTTTCTAAGGCAAGCATCACTATTACTGTTGTTCATGGTTAGGGATTTGACCTTTGGTTATAACTCTGACACAGTTTATTCTGTAGACATAATGAATGTTGCATTAAATGTTGCCTGAGCACCCTGAAATGAACATCTTAACCCAGCCTAAGCTGGTTTTCTGGTCTTCACCTGGACTGTATCAACCTGCAGGCCTTAACAAAATCAGCAAAAAAAGGAGGCTTCAAGATTACTTAAAATTATTTAAAATAAGGCAAAACAAGCATTAAATAAAATAAAACTACTAAAAAATTTTATTTCTTATATTAATAATTTAATTTGATTATTTCTCATATCAAGGTTCAAACTCAGGGTTCAGAAAAACTGGATATATGAGGAAGCCTAATTTTAAAAGTGTAATTTCTAGACCTGGAAAAGTCATAGGCATTTTTTTAATTTTCTAGTTGCTGCAATATTTCATCAGATATAAATTGTGAGTAAAAAAAACTCTTATCCTGTAAATCACGAACAACTGGAAAAGTTTAATTTTGTTATGGACAATGGGGGGAGGGGGGGACTTTTAGTCTAAAAAGGTTGAAAACCGCTGGTTTACAGAAGTTTTAGGCACTTTCAAATCAGCTGAAGACTAGCTTGGCTAGTCTTAAACCAATTAAGACCAGCAAACCAGCTTAGGCTGGTTTAAGCATGTTTTTTCAGCAATGCAGATTTGCTATTTTTAAGCTAACTGGTGAAAAAGGTTCCTTAGAGTCACGTTTTATGTGACAGACTTGAAACATTTATGGTGCAGTCACATTTAACGTTGTTCAACAAATTTCCGTGAAATCCAGTTATTTCAATGCGAGTCCGCACAATGTGGCTCAAGTTGGTTTCGCAGCCGGTTCAGGTTGGTCACTCTAATTCGCAGCAGAAACGGCTTCGTTTTTTTCAACAGTTTAATGGTTTGCGTTGCAGGATTAAACTTAGTTGTGTAATGTAACTCTACATATAAACAAATTATTTACAGAAACCTCCGAATTGCACCAGTAAACTCATGTGTAAACTTCAGTGGGAATCCACACAATCAGGAATTTCGGGACAACGTTAACTAAAAAGATAAAGTTTAAAAAAATCGTTCTAAATTTAAGAGAATATCAGAATCCGCACCACAACTCTAATGATAATGATACAGAGGAATGATATCGTTGGAATCACTTACAGAATAATTTTTTCCAGCTGATGAACGATAAAAACATTGACTGCCAACCAGAATCCATCTTTGGTGTGAACACTAATATAGTTGTCATTATCTTATAATTATCGCTCTTAGCGTGAATGGGCCTTTTGCACTAATTTACATTTTATGAGAGAGAACATTATATGAATATTTAGCAGTTCTTCATCATGAAACCAATGGGGAACATTTAGCCATTATTCTAATATTTCTCCTCCTCATCTGCTCTCAGCCCTCATACTGGTCCGGCAGCCCTCGTGTGACCCTGCTGAAGGAGAAGGAGGAAGAAGAGGAGGCCGAGAAGGTGTCGAAGGGCGAATTCTTTGAAGAGGAGCCAGCTGGACTGGTCTCGGGGGTCAAGATCAAACATTTGGCAAAGGTATCATCAGACGCACTGTGTTTTTAGGCCATTGGCCAGTGAATTTTGAGCACCTATTAGAAAAGGTTAATGGAGGTCGATCGGAACAAAACTTGAAAGAAATCGGCCACTGTGGGCCGATATCGCAGTTTTCAAGGGCGTAAACCATTGTATATTGTGCGCTTCTTCACACAGACACACAATATATTTGTATCGTAGGATAGAACTCCTCATTACGAACAACTTTGCCTCTAGGACCATTGCTGTCGATCACATTGTTTGTTAAAAAATGGAGAATATGTAAAAAAAAAAATATATATATATTTTGTGAACTAGTCCTAGGTTTTTTGCTAAAAAAACTCCACTGCAGTATAATTCTCTGGACTCTCTAGGTCAATAATTATCAAAAAAAATGGAGGCCGAGAAGGTGTCGAAGGGCGAATTCTTTGAAGAGGAGCCAGCTGGACTGGTCTCGGGGGTCAAGATCAAACATTTGGCAAAGGTATCATCAGACGCTCTGTGTTTTTAGGCCATTGGCCAGTGAATTTTGAGCACCTATTAGAAAAGGTTAATGGAGGTCGATCGGAACAAAACTTGAAAGAAATCGGCCACTGTGGGCCGATATCGCAGTTTTCAAGGGCGTAAACCATTGTATATTGTGCGCTTCTTCACACAGACACACAATATATTTGTATCGTAGGATAGAACTCCTCATTACGAACAACTTTGCCTCTAGGACCATTGCTGTCGATCACATTGTTTGTTAAAAAATGGAGAATATGTAAAAAAAAATATATATATATTTTGTGAACTAGTCCTAGGTTTTTTGCTAAAAAAACTCCACTGCAGTATAATTCTCTGGACTCTCTAGGTCAATAATTATCAAAAAAAAATTGATCTTTACCCTTTGGGTAGCTATAACGCGGTCATTTTGAAAAGGGGCCTGTCCAAACATACCCAAAAGCCAAAATTACCTGGGTTCTACCTGGGCAAATTACCCAAAAATGCTTTGGGGGGGCAGTGTGATGGAGACATGTAGAAGCTGTTGGAAAACTTGAGCATGTGGATTGTTCTGTCACAGGTGTTCAAAGTGGGCAATAAGACCAAGGAGGCGGTGAGGGATTTAACGCTCAACATGTTTGAAGGCCAGATCACTGTCCTGCTGGGTCACAACGGCGCGGGCAAGACCACCACACTATCAATGCTGACCGGTAATGAACACAGTAATGTAATTTTATGTATGAAATAGTGTGGCTGTCCCTCTCAAATTGCTTTAGGAAATGTGATTCGTTTTACTGAGTTCATTTTAATGAACTGGTTCTATAAATGATTTACTTGATTCATTTGAATCATATCTATGTTGTGTTCTTGGAACGTGCGGCGAGACATTGTTTATCATCTGTTTTATAGTTGAATAAAGATTAAATACTGCTTTTACCGCTATGTTTATGATTCAGTGAGTTCATGAAACAAGTCATGAAACTTTCTTGTGACACTTATTAGTGTCAATCTTGTGCCAGATAAACATAGCTCTTTTTTCTGAATCATATAATCTGATAATAATTTAAAGGACTTTAACTTAAATATCTTCAATGTAGTTATAGCCACTTTGTTAGTAGCTAAGTTAATGTACCTATGTACTTTTTCAAAATAGCAGCTTGTCTAACTATATTAAATTATCAGTAGCTTGTAACCATTTTGAAAATATTTTCACAACACTAAAAACACAGTTTAGCTATTCTTTGTTAGCAGCTTATAGCATGGCTACAAGACTGTGTAGTTTTAATTTACCCTGAACTTATGATTCAATTCAAGTTTATTTGTATAACGCTTTTACGATACAAATCGTTGCAAAGCAACTTTACAGAAAATTAAGTTTCTACAATATTTAGTAGTAGCTTATCAGTGGTGACTGTCGGTTTATGTACGTATGGCAGAAATGTACGGAAAATCAAGTAAAGACGTAATCAAACAGACGATGAACACTACAGTATTAACGGCAATTATTATATGATGCAATCAAACTTATAGCAAAATGTGGTAGTTCTGTAAGTTGTTTCAGGGTTGGCATCATCTGAGGTCCTCTGAGGGGTTTGCATCATCTCTTCTCAGGTGTTCTGGATCCAGACTGAAGCTTGTGTAAATCCTAGTTAGTGGCAGAAACGGAGAAACAAATAGAGACATAATTAGCGTAGCTGCTGTTCCAACCAAGTAAAGTGATTTGCTTAACCCAAGCTAAAGAATAATAATGTGCATTTGATCAGATATAACTGCAGTCCAAGATTATGAGATGCATTATTTGAATGCCTGGCCAAAGAGATGTGTCTTTAATCTAGATTTAAACAGAGAG